GCATTCCCCTTCCTCCCTCCAACTCCTAGGCCAGGTGTGCTTAAAGCAAGTACACTAGGCACCCTCCAAAATAGGGTCTTCAATGTGCTAGGCACTGTAGAGACATATAATTAGAGTGCATCTTGCTCAGTATATCTGCCTGGTAAAAATACAGCATTGAGTAAGGTCAGCAACCATATACACAGTCAGCTGTATGAAAATGAAGATATATTAAAGAAATCAACTCTCTAATATGAGAGTGAAAGCAAGTTTGCTGAATTATTTGTCTTTTTAAAAAATGTGGTATCCACCGTGGCTAGAGGGAGAACTTGTGCCAGGAATCATCAATGCATTCACTGCAGAAGTCATTGAAAGAAAGAGCTCTTCCAGGGAACCTGAGCAGCGTTCCCTGAGATCACACGAATCCTAGACGATGCTGAGGTAGAGTCCTCTGGCGTCCTCTGTAGCCATTCACTCAGCTTCCAAGAAACGACCCTCTGTGGTCATTCAATCCTACTGTCTCTCTGAGAGGTCTGGATCGTTCCCTGCAATATATTTTCTCATATTCCCTTTAATGCAGGTCAACATAGCAAAAACACTTCATAGTCTTCATCAGCCATTGATCACTGCCTTATTCTACATATGGCACCAGATCTAATCCTCCATGGAAGCAGCATTAGTCCTCCTCTCCCTTCCGTGGAGGAGTATCTGATGCTTTTGTTGCAACGGTTGTTTTTTAACTTCACTCCACCAATCATGATTACATGCCCCTCAAACATTAAGACTAGATTTAGAAGCCTCCTGAAACAGCTAATTTGGAATAAAATTGAACCCCCATTCTATTCTAATGTCCCTTGACCATAAAGGCTGAGTTTTATTTGACATTTTGGTCTTAATTATGATTTATTAGGTGTGGGATGGTTAGATACTTTTTATCTCCATTAAATCTTAATGGCTACATTTTGCCTTTTCCTCCTGAAAGAGTTCATGGAAATAAATGCAGTTAATGGACTCCGCTATCAAGTACATGTTGCTTGGAGATATAATAATGATACTTCAGAGTCTCTCCCACAATTTGCTATTAATATTAAGGAAATGCAAATTTCACAATCACATTTAAAGTCATTTTTTGCTAGTCAAACTATCAAGGCTCAGTTTCAAGGTGGGAATTGTACTTAAAATTATCATCTCATGAATATCATGGAACATGGTTATTTGTAATAGCGCAGTCATTACTGATAAGGCACAAAGATGTCAAATTACAGTCCATTAAGTATTACTGCAACATTCAGTCCACATAAAAATGGACTTGAACCAATAAAATTAAAATCTTTTTTCTAAAAAATAAGGCAATGAACAAGTGCTCCTTCTGCTAAAATGTCTTTTACTAGTTGAAGGCCCAATTTTATGCGGGCTGTACACAAGAGTAGAACTTCAGCCTAAGGACAAAAAAACAATTGCTAACCATATCTTCTTTATGATTTTAACTTAATAAACAGTCATACTGTTGCATGACCTCCAGTTCAAAGTAGACTCTAGACTTTAATCCTACACAGGTTATCTATCTTCTTCTTATAGATTTACAGAGTTCAAAATAAGAGAAACAGTTTAATCTCACTTCCTTCCTTTAATAAGCCACTATATCGTGGAATTTTGTCCCGCAGTAAGCCAAAAAACTTTTGCTTGGCTAAAGTATATCGTCTGTAAAGGTATATAGCCTTGAGCTGAGGACAAGACGTGATGGAGAATCAACAGTTTTTCAGTATAATTTATTCCGGTTGCTGACTGTCTGCCCTGTCAAAAAGTGAGCCTAATTTCTCATTTGAACATGCATAGTTTTATCTTCCAGCCACTGCTTCCTTGTGTTTTTCTCTATCAATCAGCCTTAAACATGAAATTTAATTAGAGGAATTTTAAATTCTTGAACCTCTTTTTTTTTTTTTTTTTTTGTTGAGTCTATCTCTTCCCCTTATAAAATGCAGGGGAAAGAAAGGAAAATCTCCCTGGTTTTCCTGAACAGAAAACCAACAAAAACAAAACTAGTATCCTGCAACAGAAAAAAACGGAGAGAAGGTGCTAGCATATCTCTACTTCTGTGAGAAAGTTGAGGTTTCCACATTTAAATGCCCACATAATGTCTTATATCATTCTGACAAGCTTAGCAGTTACTGTAACAAATGACTGGCTGAGGGTCTCCTGAAACGTTATGGGAAAACAAAATATAAAAGTGCACGTATTATCAATCTTTAAAGTGCTTTATGAACCTCAAGTAACAAAACCTACCAGCAACCCAAGGAAACACTGAAGTAGCAATTTCAAAAGCTAAAGTGCAAATCCCATTGACCTGAAATGAGACTAATGCCCACGCAGGTTTTTCTCTCTCTTTCACAGGTTTATGAAAAGAAGCAAACTGAGACTATAGGGTAAAATAAAGGAAGCTTTTTGATCCCTTGTACTGTTCATGCCATTAAACAACACATCCTTCAGAATAAACATAGTCATTGGACTCCTGCTTCATGCAGACCTAGTTCATGTTTGTTAAAGCTACAAAAGAAAAATGTTACAAGGATTTTCCCTGTTAAGAGAGAAAAGGAAAGCATAAGCTACAAGGCCTGAAGTCCTAACAAACTTCTAGTTCAGTACTTTTTAAGTTTTGAAGTAACTTTGATTTTTTTCCATTTGCAAAAAAGGCAAGCACTTGAAATTCAATAATACATAAATTATGAGAACGTTATGATCAGCAGAGGAATGTCACAAATCAGTGCCTTCCACACATCCTACAAGGAATTATTTCATTCTTGGAGCAGTACTCTGCTTTTCTTTAACAAACTTAGCCAGGATCTGAGCCACAGCTGAGCTTCCTATGTTTTCTGTTACTCTACTTTACATTTCTGTCCCTGGCAATCATCATTATCGCGTAGCTTCCATAAATTTGTACCTTCATCTAAACAAATTCCAACACAAAAATAAGAAAAAGACCTTAAAGAAACAAGTAAAAAAGAAAAAATACCTTTTTTTTCTCCCTTACCATGTTAAACACAGCCATAGTTAATATTATAGCAGTGGTTGTCAACGTAAGAGTGATCCGTGGCCAAGGACGGTTTGCAATTATTCCAGATGACTTCAGGATCCACAACAGTGAAGCTGATGCTTTCTTGCTACATTGCTAAGTGTGAAGAGTATTAAAAAAGAGTGTTAGTCTATTTAATTACTATAAACACCTTTACGTTAGAATTAAGAAGGCTTAGTGTTGTGAGCAGCAGTAATATACGGTTAGGTTATCCCAAAACATTGCACAGAAGTATTGGACTGTTTTCTTCTCATCAACAGCCTCCATTCATACATGCATAGTTCCTAAAGGCACAAAATGGTCACACAGAACAACAGTTCCCGGCACATCCACTAAATATTATCTTTCCCAAAATTTCAGCAGAGTGGGGACATGATTGCCCAGAAGCATCTTGCGCCCTTTCCAAATGTCATTTTCAGCTATATTGGCACCTGTGTAAAAAAAAAGGCAATGAAAAGTTAAGGAACAGGACATCCCCATAAGTCTTCCCTTTTTGAGGGATAGCCGGATATTCTAACAACGCATATACATTAATACTCTCCTCTTTACTCAAGAGTATGCTTCTCTTATTACAATAAGCCGCATTAGTCAGAAAACAAGTGAAGATCACGACTCTCAATTATATTACCCTTACCTTTTATCAACCCTTTATTTCTGTTTTTTTTTTTTCCATTTCCTTAATGCTATTAGAGATCACTTTACACATTGTTTTCATACCAGACTTTGGTATTGGGTCAAAACTTCCAAAAGAGCCACTGCAGTATTCAAAGATACAAGCACAGAAAATCTTTGAAGCTAAAACTCCAGCTCTAAAAACTGCCAAAAATAGGACTTCAGATTACAGCACTTATCAAATTCAATAGCCATGGCACGTCACTCTAAGCTGAGCAATTACCCAAGACACGTGATGTGGTTTACATTAAGGTCTTTGCCTTACTGCACCTAAATATATATATTTTTTCAATTGCACATTGCTTGGACAAGTCCACTGCACTTCTAGCAACCTTTTAAAAGAGTTTCCTACTACAACAGTGAATTTTGCACATCAGATTGGACAGATTTTGAGAGAATGCAGTCAATATGAGGAAGGTTAAAACAAAAATCTGAACCTCAAGAATGGACAAAGAAATGAAAAAAAAAGAGAGAGAGAGTTTTATATACTCACTCTCTCCCCCACCCCTTAAAAATCACATAAAACAAGAAAACTGGCCTGGGTTTTTGAAACGCTTGCTCAAATTATGCCTGTTTTGCACTTCAAGCCTTGCTACGCACCTCTCAGCAGATAGCAAATTTCAAGATAACCTGAATCCACATGTGGATTTTAGAACATTTTTATCTTCCCTGTTTCAAGTAATAGGGCTGTGGTTACCCTTTAATAAAGCAGTTACCCTTTAATAATAATAAAGTGGTTACCCACCTTATTAAAACAAAAAGCATGAAGCCTGAATTGCTGCTGCTGTTGTAAAAGAGAGGGTGTTGAATGGCACCCAGGGAAGGGATCTGGCTGAAAACAGAAAGATTCTGTGATGATCAAAATCCCATCACTCAGTCCCACGGCAGATGGAGGAACCAAAGTAATCTAATCAGTGGAGAACAGAACACACTTAACCAGCTACTCCTAAGACCATCAAAGGAGAACGATTAGACAACGGTTCC